GCAAACCCTGGGAGAAGCTTCCAATATTCCATCCCGGGCCCCACCCTCTGCATAGGAGTCCCCTCCCTATGGAAGCTCAGAGAGCATCTTTCAGCAAAGAGAAAGCTCTGGGGCTCAGCTTCAGAATTCTTTTGAGATCAGTGGGAATACTCCATCTTACCCCAAACTCATTGTTTCAGGGAAGAAAGTCTCTCTCTAATTCCCCTTCTCCAGCCCTCTGGGGAGGGGCTTTGATTATTTGAAACAAGAGGTCTAAGAATCAAGGGTCTCACTTTGCTCCTAGTTCTGATCTTACCTCTGAAAGATGGAGGAACAGTAGGAGAGGTCACCGCCTTGTCGCACAAACACTTAATGAAAACACAAATGGCACCAAGCATGTATTGACCAAACCAAAAAAAAAAAAAAAAAAATTAGATGTGGCTGAGCAACAAACGAAGCTTCACAGGAACAAGTATCAGAATTTTGACCTAATGATGATGTCCTGGGACATTGAGGGTGGGTGGCCCCCAAACAAGAGGAGAAGGAGTTAGGAGTGGAAATGTTCTCAACATGTTGTCCTTGCTCTTTGGCTCTCTTCCTGGTCCTTGTCCACCCATCTTTCTGTCCCTTCTACACCTTTCCATTTGCCTTCTCCCCCAACACCCACCCTCCCTCCCTCGGGTCCTCCGGGAACCTTCCCTTTCCTCCTCTTAATTTGTTTTTCCTTGGCTCCACACCTTTAGGGCCACACCCTCATGCTGCAGGATCTCCATCCTTGAGAATTGGGTGGAGTTTCTTTCCCAGGGAGAGCTCAGTTTCTCCCTGAGCCCAATTTCATTCCTGACAAATTCCTTGCTATTGTCAGTGTCTTAACAGGCTTAGCTGGCAGGGAACCCTACATTTCATAAATCAAACCTCTCCTTCCCTTCCAAGTGCTGGGTGATGTTCTCTGCTGCCTAAAGGTAAGTCCTGGAAGTAAGCAATCTCTAGGGGGATGGGGCACAGGATGCCATCTGTGTCCTCATGTCAGCTGGGAGCCAAGCATTCTCTGCAAATGCCCATTTCAGTGCAAGATTTTGCCTCATTCCACTTTTCTACCAATTTCTAACCAGCTTTTACTGTGAACTCAAGGGATTTCTCAAAATAAGAATGGTAGGATCTTAGAATTTCAGAGTTTCGGAGGCCTTGAAGGCCATCAAGTTTAATTTCCTCAAGCAAGGAAACTGAGTGATTTTCCCCTGGCCATACTGCAGAGTCCCGACAAGACAACAGCCCCTATGTCTTCCTATCAGCATCTCATATCTCATACTACCTATCTCATATCTCACAGCCATAGTCAAATTCCATGCCAAAAGGATTCTCTTCCTTTTTGAAGGAAGAATTCATGAAATTGACTTAAGAAATACATCAACTGCCACAGCCACATAAGGCCAAGCCACAACCAGAGAGGAGTTCCTTTAGGTTCCAGAGAAATGCCCTCCCTATGACAGGGAAGAAAATATTGACCCCAATATTTTGTTTAAAAGGAAGAGAGAAGAAGCAATCCCCAAGAATGTTTGTATTTCTAGGCAGCATCAGTGAATCTTCCAGTTAAATTGAGAAAAACTGCTTCACCAATCAGCACCAGGGATTGAAGTTTTGGGGATGTGTGTTTTAGGGGTGAGGTGTTGCAAATTCAAATAAACTCCTAATTGTATGTGGCCTTCCTTAATTACTGAATGGCAAGCATAGTCCCAGAAATTTGGGATCAACTGGGCTGAACTGAGAAGAGTCCTGAAAAAGAAAGGCTTATGCTCAGAAAATTCCAGTCCTACACTCGTTAAAGATTATGAGCTCTTCTCAAGGGATTGATACACCGACTTCCAGCAATTAGACAGGCTACCTTTGATTGGCAGCTTATTCCTTTAGTTAGCATGACAGGTGGTTAACCGTGTACAAGCATGGACCACATGCACTGTGGGCCAGATTATGGGACAATCTCCAAAACACCAAGTTAAATAAGTGTTTCTCATATTGGATTGATTTAACCATGACCCACTAGGTGGCAATACGAGGTGTGTCCCTCTGAGTATGTGCATCTGAGTCTCAAATTTCTCTGAGCTTTTGTGTTAAGGCTACAGAGTATAGAGATGTGGGAATTTAAAGAAGGAACCATATTCATGTGTCTAAAAAATGAAATACCTCAGAGTCCAACTCTATGGATATGCTTGACTATGTGCCTATTCTAAAACTTCATAAATGCTCCTTTCTAAAACGTAGGAGGAATAAAGAAAGAAAAGTAAAAGAGATATTGCAATACAGATCCACCAAGCTGTCTTAATTAAATATTTACTAAGAGTTTAGTGTCTAAAAGATGAGGAGCATTGGGTGGGGCAACAACAAATCCCGTATAGATATTTTCTGGGTTGTTTCAGCCCTGCAGAACCAGGAACTTACAGGGAAGCTGATTTTGTTCAATTTAAGGAAACCTGATAGTTTGGAGCTACCCCTCTAAGGGGGATGAGCAGGAGACACAACTCTGAGGTACTGAGCTCCTCCTGGATGGGGATTTTTAGGAGCTGTAAAATGTCCAAAATTAGACTCACAAATATGGTGGAAGAACGAATGAGATGATCTTCCAGATCCCTCCCAAATTCAGAATTCTAGGAATAAAATGAAGCATGTATTGGAACTAATTTGCTTTGTGCCCTTTTCCGTGGCCACTTTTCATGTACATACCCCATCAGGCTCCAGCGAGTCTAGAGAAAAGCAGTTTTGCTTCCTGCATAAACCATCCTGGGCCTGTGTGTTCTTTCTCCAGAGCCCCCATGGGTCCAGCACTCCCCGAAAATCCCAAGAGCCACCAGAATGAGCCAAGAGGGTCTGCATTCCCAGCCAGATCTCTATGAAGCCCATTCAAGGCTGGGAAATGATTAGGCCTAATTGGTCTCCAGAAGAAAGCACCGAGGATTGAGCAAACCAGTCAGTCCTTTCCAAGGTTTGCAAAAGGAATGTCTTTCCTCTCCTCAGAGGGCCGCCCAGGATTCCTGGGAGGTAGCCAGGTTCTGAGGAAGTGATCTGCTCGGGGCTGGTCCCTTGATGGCATTATGCCAACTCCCAAAACAGTTTAGTACCCCTGAACAATGTGAAATCTGGGGGCCCTTCTCACCAGGGCAGTAGCCCGGATGTCCAGCAGCCCTGGATGGCTCTCCACCCCCGCCCCATTCTTTAGAGTCTGGGTGGAATTGGATCCACCTCTGAGGGTGGGAGGCCACAGGGGGAAAATAGCCCTCCCGTTTTTGGGTTGTCTGAAGACCTACAGCTGAAGTCCCAGAAACCTCTCCCAACTGAGGCGCTCGCCGCCTCCTTGCAGGAAAAGTAGACAGCAGGAATCTGAGTCGCCTTAGGTTGCCTCAAACTCCAGCAAATAACAGACAGCATGTTTTTGCACTCCTAAAGCCACAGAGTGATGTGAAATGCTTCACAAATAACAAGGATCATGATGTTTACACCCTCTGGATTGTCGGTGTTAACAATTTGCTGACTGGTTAGAGTTTGCTTATTAGTTTTAACCTACACAAAACTGACGGCAAGTCTGTATTATTTTCATAAACTACCAGGGCCGTGGATTTAATCTGGCTCTTCTCGAGCACGTCCATGTAATCTGGAAGTCATAAACATTTGAAGCAAACGTGGGAGTTCCCTGCATCTTGAGAAGTTGCCCTAGCGTTTGCTTAACCACCCCCTCGGGGGCAGTTTTACAAGGAGTTTTGCCTGCTCAACTTGCAGGCTGAATACATTTAAATCTCCCAACCAACAGGCGAACTGCATTTCTGAAGGAAAAGCCTAACTTCACCAGACAAGCTGAATCCTGTCATTCTCATCTTGTTTACGTGGGGAGAAAAAATATATATATACCAGTATCTATGTCAAAACGGCCACACCCCTGTCGACACTCAACCCAAATGTTAACCCAACAAAACAAAAGCAAACAGCAAAGGTGCCTTTCTTCTCCCCAGATGCACTTCATGCTTCGCGTTTGCATTTGTACAACCACATTCTGCCAAAGAGTGAAAAGATAAACATTCCAAAAATGATCACTGCCTTCCCTGCCACAAAATTCTACACCCGCTTAGGAATTTCTGTTGTGAGCTTTTACTTTGCACTGAAATGCAGCTGTTCCTGGGGTGGAAGTTCCAAGCCACTCAATAGTTTCTTATAGGAACAAAGTTCCCCTGCCCCTCCCGCTCCTCCAAGCCCTGTTTCCCTTCTGCCTCCACATCTGGACCAGAAGAGGAGTCTGGAATCCACATCAGGCTCCTGATTCCACCAAACGAACCCTCCCACGTTTTTTTTTTTTGTTTTTGTTTTTGTTTTTTTTGTTTGTTTTTTTTTTTTTTGAAACACCGTTTGCCTCTCTCTCGCCCTCTCTGTTTCCCTAACGGTTTTCTTTAAACAAACCAATTCTCCTTTTCCCCACCCCGACAGGGGCGGAGGGAGGAAAAAAAAAAATTTAAACAGAAGTGAATAGACAAGGAAAAGGGCAGTAAAAGAGCAAAAATAAACTGAAAACCACACATCTATACACCCTCACCCCGAAAGACCAGCAAACAACCCACAAGCCAAGAAACAACTCAAATCCTGAAGCGATTTGAATCAAAACAGAGGAGTTGAAAACATCTGGCAAGTTCCATTTCAGAGGTATGTATTGTTTCCTCCATAAAGAATATGCTATCCAGATCTGTTCCAAAGTCCCTGCTCCCTCCACATCTTTAGAGTTGGAACGCAGTTAATTCAAGAAATGAGTACAGACCCGTCCTGTTGATTTCCCCCTGATCCCTCCACAAAACACATTCTTAACTTTAAGGGAAAGGTTGTCTCAGCATCCACTTGACTAAATGTTTCAAGGACTTGATTCTGAGAGAACCATGGAAAAGTAGCAAAGGAAAATAGTAAAAGCAATGCTTAGATGAACTCTCAGAAGGAGCACAGTGAAAAGGAGACAGAACGCAGAGCTTCCCCAGAGCTGGGAGCTGTCCTACCTTGAGAGTCCCAGCGACAGAGGCAGACGCCCTGAGTGGCAGGAGCTGGCAGCAGCCTTGGTCCGCTCTTCTGGAGGTATGTGACCACAGTGAGGGGAGGGACTGCCTCCCGAGGTTATAAGTTTCCTCCGCTGGTGTGCTGGGGTGTGTGATGGGCGGTTTCTTTTCCCTGTGTTTTAAAGGAGTTTCTATGAATCAGTCTAGCTTTAAAAAAAAAAAAAATGTTGGTAAGCTACGCCCTGCTAAGTTGGCAGTCAGTCAAAAGTGACTGGGAGTGAGCCATCAATTCAAAGAACCCTGTTGTAGGCTCCCTCTGACTCAGACACACAGACCACAGTGGAAAAAGGAGTGACATTGCTTCAAATGAGTAATAGGAGTCACACAAATAGATCTGTTTACTGAAGCCCATTCCTCCTCACCAGAAAGAGACTTCGGTTACTATGGACATAAGACAAAACACAGGTTCTAGTGGAGAGGGGGAGGAAGGGGAAAGAGGAGGGAAAGGAGAACCCCTGTTAATTAAAATCCCAGCTAATCATCAAATGAGATTCCTGTTCTTCCTTCTCCATCAAATGCATCAGCTGCTGCTCATTGCCAGGAAGGATCAGATTTATTTCTGACTCCCTTGACTGACCCTTGGACACCTTCCTGTGGTATGAGACCCGGGAAGCAGAAAAGAGGACCAACCAAGTGCCTTGGTAACCTGCCTCTGAATGAAGGAGCACTGATTGACAATAGACAATCCCTGCTCTTTAATTATGCACTCTGAATGCCTGTGTGGACTCTTGGAGGAAGTCTTCTAGACTTTGCTCTCTGATCTCCATATAATAATTACCTGGACCTTGTTCCACAATTGACTTTCTTGAACCCAGCTATTGGCGTGATCATCACTGCCTGCCACCTTCCTGCACCACTCCTCTCTAACTTAATCCTGGAGCTGGGAGGAGACTTTGAAGGCATCTCATCCCACAGTCTAGGCATTCATCTGAGAGGATCACAGCCTGGATGCCCAAGTTCAAGCCCAGCTCTCCACTTAGGAGCTGTGTGACTTTGAGCAAATCACTTACCCTCTCCATGCCTGTTTCCTCATGCATCAAATCGAGATAGTGGATAGCCATCTCATAAGTTATGGTGAGAAATATATACATAGAGTTTATAATAATACATTCGCTAGATGCGCAATCAGTGTTGGCTACGATGATTATTTTACTGAAGAAAATGCTCAGGCCCAGAGAAAGGTGAAGTGATTTCTTCAAGGACATACAGTAAGTTGGCAGTAGCAGCTTGGATTTGAGTCTGCCAAACCCAAGCAATTCTACTGTACATAAGTATGTTCATACAGTTATTTATTTCATTCATTCAACTGATACATACTGCATATCAACCTGCCCTGAACCCTGTTCAGAAGATCAGATCACAGAAGTGAACAAGATCCCTGCCCTCTTAGAACTTAAATGCCATAAAAGGATAGGGAATGAACTGATGATGTTGCAATAAAAGGTTGATAAAATTAGATGGTAAAATTGTGGGTGAATGTTAGTTGCTTCTGGTTACATTTCTGTTGTTTGTTGTTGCTTTTAAAATTTTTCTGCAATAAACATGTTGCTTTGGTTTTTAGGAGAAAATATGTTCACATAGAAGAGACTATTTCTAAAGTGGATGATGAGACCCACACACACAGCCTCTCCACAAGTCCCTAAGAACTGAATTCTATCTCTGTACAGGTAACAAAGTCTAGATTTTTCACTAAAAACTGATGATGTGACAAAGATGGCATCAGTTTCTCATATATTTCTTCACCTCCCCCCTCTCCCATCACTCATTTGATAATAAAAATGCCTGGCTGGGAGGAGCCACTCCCAGCACTGGCAGAGTCCCTGAGGTCTAGCAGCCCCACCCTAAGAGAGGAGAGGGCTCTGCTGGTGAGCCAAGGGAACCCTCTTTACATGGTATTTGTCTCACCTGTGCTCAGGATTGCCTTTGCCCTCCAAGGCCTTCTGCCTGTTTGGAACTCTCTTTTCCCACCAATGGGTAGGGGACAGCTGGGCTCCAGAGGTGGAGGCTTCACTCAGCTGCTGGGGAGCTGTGGTGTGGCTTGCATTTTTTAAAGGGAAACCTGGAGCTAGGAAAGATGGGGAGGGAGATGTTCTCCTTCCCACTGTCCTCTCAGGTTAACAAAGGAAAAAAGCAGAAACTTTTCTTAAAGTCCTTGAGTAGAGGAGTCATTTGATTCTTCTGGATTCTCACACTGGATTCCAGAGATTGCGGATGGAGGGAAGGGCTCTGAAAGCAGGAGTTCTAGTTTTTCCTCTCCTACTGCCTGGCAGTGGTAGGGAGCAAGGGACCTGCCCTCCTGCATTTCTGCCATAAAGTGAGTAGATGTCGTTGCCTTCAAATGCACCTAATAAATCTCACTTTCCTGTGCACTTTTGGTGATGTTTAGGTTTGGAGAGAAAATGTTAAAAGTGTTGAACTCTTAAAATGTGCACACTCAGTGGTACTATATAAAGCCAAATACTTGGTATGATTTGGTTTTCCTTTTTCTTTCTTTTATTTCTTTTTTCTTTTTTTCTTTTTTTCTTTTTTTTTTTTTTTTTTTTTTTTGTACAGGAGATTGAACTAGAGGCACTTTACCACTCAGCCTTTTCATGTTTTATATTTTGAGACAAGGTCTTGCTGAGTTACTTAGGGCCTCTCTAAGTTGCTGAGGCTTGGTGTGAATATTTTTAAAAGATTGATGCCCGTCCAGGATTTCTAAAGTCTCATAATTAACTCTTGGAATACCACTGAGCTTATTTTATAAGTTGCCAAGTCTGGGAAAGAAATCGGATCTGCTCTGGCTGAAGCTGCATTTTATTGTGCCTCTGGATATGATTAAAGCACTAAGCCTGATTCTTTCCATGGTGGTGAGCAGACAATTTTTAAGACTTGGGGTGGTAATGTGTTCAGGGTCTACAACCCCGTGGAGCTGGGCAGTGCAGCTCACTCTGGGATCCGTGCCTCTCCAAACAGTCAAGAGTAACCTGCCTTTCTGTTCTGCTCCCGTGCTCTCCTCCTTTGGAAGGCAGATGCCACGCATTCATTTTCCACATGGGCAGAGAGCCGAGCAAAGTTTCACTCGACCCGTCAAGCCATATATTCTTAGGAAGGAATGTCCCCTCTTGCCCAGTGAAACAGTGCTACTCTGGCACAGGAATATGTCCCTCCTTCTGTAGCAACAAGTATCCACTTCTGGCCGGATGCCATTTGGGGTAGATTTTCCGGTCTGAACAAGTGTAAACACTTTTAATGAATATATGAATTTGAGGGCTTTTAATGACTTGATACAAGAAGTCTCCTAAGGTAGGTCTGGCCCCCTAACACCCACAGAGAGCCAGCAAGAGCTTGAACTTGCTTTTGTTCAAACTCAGCCAGAAAGCCTCCCGATTGGTGCAGCAGGTTCCCCAAAGCCATTATTAGTGCAGGGATGTCAGGATCAGTACTAGCAAACACTGTTTGAAAGGTAAATATAATGCAAGAAGAAAGTTATACAGTTTCTCCCAAAGTCCAGTGAATCTGTGTTCCTTGCCACTCCTCTGAAATTCCAGAGTTGAGCAGAAATTCTGTATTCCTTCCGCCCTTTCCCCTCCTTTCCCTTCTTTCTACAGCACTCATCTCTTTCTTTGTTTTCCCGTCAAGCTGTTTTCTTTCTTAAACTCCCCTCAGTAAATGTAATTTTAATACAGTTTCACAAAATGGGAAGTGTCTAAAAACCCCCTTCATTCCCCCCGTTTCTTATCTCTGAGCTAGTCTGTGCTGAAACTGCTTTGGAAATAAAATACTGATGAAATTCCAAGAGCACCCAAGAACCCCAGCCCAGTGGCCTGACACCTTCCAGCTGAGCAGAGATGGTCTCACTGATGACGTAATGCCTATAGGTAAAACAGAGAGATGGAGCTATTAACAATGACAACCTAAAATCAGCAGGATGGAGAAATCCCTGCCACGGGGACAGTTGCCAGATCTATGCTAAATGTGTATGGATGGTTAACTTGGATGAAAGGAAAAACTTCTGACCTGTGTCCACTGGCAATATGGCTTCAAAGCCAGAGAAGAACAACAAGCACACAAAGAAGCAGCAGTTGTCACCAAAATAAAAAGTGAAAATATTAGGTCTTTCCCCAGATAACTGCAGTACTAGAAGGTGGGTATTAAAGAAATATTGAATAAACGGCTTTTCTTTTGCACTTTGCATCTCATGTTACCAAGAGCATTGTTCCTACTGCTTCATGGGCCATTTCAGGGAAACAACTGGATATTCAAAAGTGAGTAAAGATTGACCATCTCTCCCTATGCATGCAGGGGCAGAAGATCCAGGAAGCAGATGCTGGCTACATAGCAGGTGCTCAACTAAAAAATAGGATGTTTAATCAAAAAGTATCTAATACCCAAGTCAAAGATTCTCATGTTCTCCTTCAAGATCTTTCCCTCAAACTCAGATGCTGGGCAGAGCACCCCTCTAACTAAGGCCCCATAGCTGTGGGGAAAGCAGTTAGTGTACATCTTTACATTTGCCCAAGGAAAATTGTAGTGCCAGGGAGCTTAAAGCCAAGCAAACCAGCACAGGGACCTTACAAACATTCCTACTGGGACCACATGGGCAGCAAAGAACACAAGACCCGGGAACTTGCTAGATGTGATCTCTGCAACCTACTTAACATTTTGAAAGATTGTTTCTTGGCAAAAATAAATACTAAGGTGAGTGACTTAATTTATTCTGCCTCACAGGAAATTGGGATATTCTTTCTGGTTAAATTATAGGATATTTGGTTAATTTTTAAGCATTATGGGGCAAAACAAGACCTCTTTCAAGATATGCATACACATAAGTTGGCATTTGCAATTTCATGCACACCTGTACCCAGTCCAGCCAGCCCCTTGCAAGGGTGACATGTGTGGAGGTGTCTCGGCACTCTGCAGCCTGACAGAGCTCATGGCCAGAACTCATAGCCACACAGCCCACAGGGCTGGATAAACGCTGGTGAGCACACAGACGTCCCTTCTCTAGACCATGCTGATCATCCCCCATTGGTGAA